CAACCCAACTTGCTCAGTCTTCCAGCGTTCAAGAGCTCGACCAGACCGCTTCGTGAAGGGGTGGTCCGGCCCCAGGATTTTACGTCTCAATTGCGAGCATTGCTTTATCAACGCAATAGCGTCATCGCCCCGGTCTTGGCTTTTCCAAGTAACAGCAAGGTCATGCATGGCTTCGAGAGTGTCGGGATGCTTCTCCCCGAGCACCGCCCGCCGTAGCTCCAACACCTTGACCGAGATCTCCTCGTCCTCGTCGTACCGGCCCTGCGTATGGTATATCGTCGCGAGTAACCTCATACTCCGGATCGTATCTGGATGCTTCTCCCCGAGAACCTCCCGCTGTAGCTCCAACACCTTGACCGAGATCTCCTCGGCCTCGTCGTACCGGCCCTGGTTATGGTATGTCGCCGCGAGCTCCCCCATACTCCGGATCGTATCTGGATGCTTCTCCCCGAGAACCTCCCGCTGTAGCTCCAACACCTTAACCGAGATCTCCTCGGCCTCGTCGTACCGGCCCTGCGCATGGTATGTCGTCGCGAGTGACCCCATGCTCCGGATTGTATCCGGATGCTTCTCCCCGAGTACCGCTCGCTGTAGCTCCAACACCTTGACCGAGATCTCCTCGTCCTCGTCGTACCGGCCCTGTGTATGGTATGTCGCTGCGAGTGACCCCATGCTCCGGATTGTATCCGGATGCTTCTCCCCGAGTACCGCCCGCTGTAGCTCCAACACCTTGACCGAGATCTCCTCGTCCTCGTCGTACCGGCCCTGCGCATGGTATGTCGTCGCGAGTGACCCCATGCTCTCGATTGTATCTGGATGCTTCTCTCCGAGAACCTCCCGCCGTAGCTCCAATACCTTGACCGAGATCTCCTCGGCTTCGTCATACCGGCCCTGCGCATGGTATGTCGTCGCGAGCTCCCCCATGCTCCGAATTGTATCTGGATGCTTCTCCCCGAGCACCCCCGTCGCAGCGCAAACGCCCTCACATCCACCCGCTCCTTCTCTCTCCACCTTCCGCGGTCGAATAGATAGTCCGAAACTCGAGTTAGAAGGTTAGTTACTTCAACTTCCCTCCCACACAGCTCCGCCCAATCGCTCACCCGCACCGCATGCGTCAAGAACGTCTCGCATTGTGCCCACATCTCTCGCTTGCGTTCAGGGAAGAGCTTTGTAATGACCTGTAGTGCAGCATTTGAGAAGTATACTTCGGCTCCATCCTCCCAGCCACCCTTCTTGGCATCACGCTTGCTTTCGGAAAGATATTCCTATTATCTCCCGTAGTCTCGACTTTGGCTTCGTTGGCTTTCTTTCTAAGAGCCTCCTTGAGTTGAGGCCATACCGAGTAGCCTCCTGCACAAGCTTGTGCATTTCAAAGCTCCGTTTACCCTCTTCTGTTCTGTGTGCAGTAATAAATGAGAACTCCTTGAGCCGAATAATAGCTCTATCCACCTGCTGCTCGTTCTCAGGCAGTCCTCCCTTCTGCCTATTATTGCTAAATATAGCAGCCGCCGCTATTACCTCCAACGGGATATTCTGGTTATCGAGATACGCGATAATATGCAAGGTCTTGTATGCTATCTCGTTCTCCTGCCGAATACGATCGATCGAGATATGCCACGTTTCCAGGATGCTATTAGGTATATCGAGTCGTCGGTGTCTGTCGAATTCTGTCTCTTTCAGGATGCGCCATCGCTCTTTTTCCCTCGACCAGTCTCGACAAGTACTCCTTGATAGGTGTCGACGTCCGCCGCATATACGCTCCTGCTGAGAGATAGCCAGGGGAGCCACTGAAGCTCCTCGAGCAAAGCCGTGGCATCCTCGAGCTCTTCGCTCCTGGTCCTTTCGTTTCTCGCCGTCTCGAGCAGCACCTTTGCCTCGTCGACTGTCATACGGGCGACCCCGATGCCTCGCCGCGGTCCAACAAGGGTGCAGCGATCCGTTCATCGCGGCTCGTCCAGAGGACCATTCCCGTAGGACCTCGCGGGACGTAGTCCAACAGGCTTGCTGACTTGTCTGACGTCTGGCCGACGCCAAAGAGCGCCAGGTCGTCGGCGTTGTCAAGGACGAGCAACCATCGCGGCTCTGACTCGATGCGCTCGCGCACGACCACGAACAGATCTTCACCATCGAGCTTGCTGTCCAGGCCCGAGCTTCCTCGCGATCGTCTTGTAGTCGTGCGCGAGCGTCGTCTCGTTATCGGCGTGGACCCAGAAGACGGAGCAGGCAGGGTCGCTGCATCGGCGGTACGCGTACTCGAGCGCGATCTGGGTTTTGCTACGCTGGTTAGCGGGGCATCGGAGCGGCGGCGCGTCAGAGCGACGGGAGGGGATCACCTACCCCGACCCACCAAGACCCCAGAGGGCGGCGCTGCCATATTTCGGCGTCGATGGAAGGAGTGCGTCGAGCTTGGCGAAGAGGTCCGACCGACGGACGACATCCTCGTTGCGGGGGAAGGGGATGACGCGGTAGGGTTTAGGAGCCGGCGACGGTGTGTCGGGTCCGTTGAAGTAGAAGTTGTCGATCCGCCGTGGGACGCGTGTGGGGCCGCGATGGTGTATTGACCGTTGACCGACCCATGAAACTGGGTGGATGCGTCCATCGTCACCACCGCCACTATGAGTGCATAAATCTCTGCGAGCGACAAGACATTCGCAAGTGTGAGCGTGGTAGAGTGGATGGCGAGAGGTAAATAGCAAAGTGCAGCCTCGCCTGCTAGGATAGTTGTTGGCGCAGCCCATCTTTGGATGACCCCGCAGCTGAACAGCCGTCGACAACACCACGGGCCTGTCAACACGCGAGGATAGCTCTTTCGCCCGCCGAGATTCATTAAGCCGCGTCAAAAAACAGCCTTCTCAATCGCCTGCTCGTCCTTGTCTCCCTCATATCATGCCCGCTCCGCGACCTTCCAACCCACAACCCAATAATATGTTGAAGGGGAAGACACATAGTTCAGAGTGGCGGACAAATATATTAACCAAGTATCAGCTCTCAGCTTTAAAGTAATAGTAGAATCTGCCACAACACTGGTCAACTAGGTGGTAGGCTGTGGGAACCCCCCCGCTCTCATCTCGAAAGACGAGCGATTGACGCTTTTTAGAGGCCATACGTCATTGGTTCCTTCCTTTGCGAAAGTCGGTATGCCAGAACGCGAGCTCCCAATCTCCCCATTTCTTGCACTCGGAGGCGCTGACAAGCTGGACTAAGAGCTTAACCCTTTCCTTGGTGAGAGCACGCACTGCCCGCGTGAGAGAATCGCGCCCATCCTAATTTGTGTTCTCATTTGGAAGCCGAGGCGTTTTCAACTTGGTGCCCCAATATGGATGCTCCCGCAACTTATCGAGGGCCGATCCATCTAACTGACTGTTTCCATTCCGGCTATATGTGGCGAAGGCAGATTGCTGCTCACGTGCACTCGCACGCGCTTCAACCCTCGCGGGAAATATTGATTGGGCAAGGCTGCGCGTACGCTGAACCACCCAGGGTTTTCGGGCCCGCCACCAGAGGTTGCACTCGCGAATTGCCGTACACGCAAAACCCCAGTTGGCCTAAACTAAGCATCAGTTCATGCAATGCTCCCATACAGCTAGCTTCCCATGCATACTTCAGCGACGCTTTAATTTACGAATCACCCCGCATGATCAGCTTCCAGCCCCGCCTACATGATATAAAAGCATCATCATTCCCCCCCAATTTTTTCTTTCGTAGTAATTAGGAAAGTCCGCTATAGACGTCACCATACACTCAAATATTATCTTATCTCACATTTCTAGAAACATAGGCGCTCGGGGTCTTAAGTGAACGGTATTTTAAGGTAAATAGAAAGCAGTGCGAATACTGCAAGCACACCTGTGCTAGTAAATCCCACGGGATACACGAATACACTTCGGTGCTCTGGGATTATCAGAATGACCTTCGTCTCCGGAAGCACTTCGTTTCCCTGCGGCCGAAGGGCTAGCATCGTGGTCGTGGAGCACCGGTCTATTTCCTTGGGAAGCCTGGGCTGCGGGCAATGTGAAGTGCGGGGATGGCGTTGGCGCTGGCGTGATGGCAAGAACCTCTCGAAATTTCGGCGCGAACTCTTGTGCGCGATCGTCGTTGTTAATCACACTTGTTGCATCTGACAGGAAGGGTGCATTGTGATGTGAATAGAAGCTCTTGATTTCTAGCTAAGGGACGGGCCTAAAGCCCGTCTTTTATACATAATAAAGACGGCTGCTGCCGGAGGCGGCAGTCCGTCGCCGCCGCACAGGGGCCGGGGCCCTGTGGGTCCTAGGGACCGGGATCGCGGTCACAGGGCCGGCGATGTGGTCTGATGATAGTTGTGACATACCCCCCCAGGTTGAATGGGGATTCAAGCTGAATAGATAGGAAATGTAGGAAAATGGCCTTTGTTGGAAGGACGGTTGTTATATAGGCTAGGAAAATAGGGATAGGAAATTGAAGGAAAAGATTGATAGAAGGAAATCGGGCTCTGCTAGCCCTCGTCGTCTGTCTCAATCTGTGCCTCAATTAGGCTCCTGATATCAATAAGTCCTAGCTGTCTGACGAAGAGTTCAAATTTCTGACCAGGCAGGGGCTTGGTCAGACCGTCTGCTAGCATCTCTGCTGTTTTTGTGTATGTGACTTGAAACAATCCATTGAGATAGGACTGTCGGGCCCAACAGCTGTGGATATCAACATGCCGTAGAGCTGTTCGAATCCGCGGCATCTGCAGGGTGATGAGCCGGATCGTCTGTTGGTTGTCGCATTGAATGACTAGCTGTTGGTCTAGCTGAAGGTCTAGCTGTTGGAATAGCCATTGGGTAGCTAGGGCTTCCTTAGCTGTGTGTGTGAAGGCAAGGAGCTCGGCTTCCGTAGATGAAGTTGTGACTGTATCCTGTTTTCCGGCTTTCCAGCTGATAGGTCCGCCGAATAGGGTCATTATCATCCCTTGGGACGATTTCCGGGTCTTCGGGTCGTCTGCGAAGGCTGCGTCTGACGCAACTAGGAATTCGAGGTCCTGATCTGTCTGATTGGCCGGGCCCGGGGCGGCTGCCGGTCCGGCTGTTGATCTGGCCGTTGGAATTGCGATTTGAATGATCGGTGGATTAGGGCTTTGGCCGCTGAATTGGATAGCTAGATATCGGGTTGCGTAGAGATAGCTGATGACCCTATCTGCGATCCGGTGATGGTCTTCCGTTGGATTGAGTAAGTGTTCTGCTAGCCGGGCTGCGGCCTTAGCTATATCAGGCCGGCTGATGACTGCAATATAGTTGATAGACCCGACTTTCTGTTGGAATAGGATCACCTGGTCCTGCCGGGCTTGATATGGGTTTTTCTATAGGTCGTTGGCCGGCAGGGGGTTTCCTTTGAAATCGTCAGCTAGCTTGACCTTAAAGCGGGCTGCTGTCTTCTCGATGTATGAATCCTGACAGAGCCATAGCTTCTTAGCCAGCTTATCCCTTAGAATTCGGATGCCTAGGAACCAGGAAAGGTCCCCTAGGTCTTGCATCTGATACCGCTGCTTGAGCCTATTGATCAGAGTCTCAGCAGCTAGCTGATCCTTCATGCGATACAGCAAGACGATATCATCAACGAAGAAAAAGACAGTCAGCCAGCTGTTATTGCAGATACAAGGGTCTTCTGCACACTATTGCAGACCTAGCTGCTGGAAGGTCTGAAGGAGGTCTTGTTGCCACAGTAAGGGCGATCTGCGCAGCCCGTATAGGGCTTTTCGTAGCCGTAGGCTCCATCCGTGCCGTTTGAATCCATCCAGGCAGCGGATATAGACCTCTTCGTCTAGCAGGCTGTTGGTGAAGGCGTTGACTGCATCTAGCTGCCTAGCCTCTAGCTGGAATTTAGCTGCTATTGCCATGAGGACCCGGAAGGACCTTCCTGCTAAGGTTGCTGCATAGGTCTCTTTATCATCAAGAGGCTGAAGATCTCCTCGGACACAGAGCCGGGCCTTGAATTTCGTAAGGAACCCATGCTTATCCGTCTTGTATTTGAAGACCCAGGTCGTCGGGATAGGGGTCTTTTTGGCCTGTTCGGATAGAATAGCCTCAAAAGTCCCTTGACCCCACAGGTCTCTCATCTGGATCTCGCAAGCCTGCTTGAATTGGCGGCTAAAGGGATGATTTTCTAGCTCTCTGAAGGTCCTAGGTTCCGGCGGAAGGTTCCGTCTGTGGAGCTTTTCTTCTCTTCCGTTGAAGAAGCTGCTGAAAAAGCTAGCCTTTTGGATCGTATCGATAGCTGGCTCGGCTGCTGAGCCGGCTGCTAGGCTTGGAAAGGCTCCTCGGCCCCTGATACAGTCTGAGGCTCGAGATGCGGCAGGCCACGGTCTTCGCGGTCCTCGTGGGCGCCCTTGTCTAGCCGGCTCTGACGTCTGTGTCGGCTCCGGGCTAGGTTGACTGCTAGTCGGGCTGCCGGGCTGTTCCGGCGGCGTTGAAAATTGAGGATCCGGGCTATCGGTTGGCGATGCCGTTGTCCGTGGGGTCGGAAGATAGGGATCTTCGTTATAGTCAGGGTCCTTGTCTTCCTGCTCGTTGAGATCTAGGTCTTGGAACGCTAGATCTTCCGGATCCGCGCTGCCCGGGCTGTCCGGATTAGCTGGATCGGGTGTGTGGTCGGTACGGTCCGTAGCGTCGTCCGGATCCGTGTCTTCGGGCCCGTCTGACCTATCAGGGTCATGTTGATCGGGCTGTTCGTGCTGATCAGGGTCATCGAGGGCTACCTCGATCGTTGACCTGATTTCCTGGTCTTCATCGCTGTCGCTGTCAATGTGGGCTGGAAGCAGCAGCTGCACTCTAGGCTGTTGAATTGGCTGAGGGATTGGGTGGTTCCTAGGGTCATAGAAGGTTTTCTCGTCGAATGTAACGTCTCTGACCCTCCGGACCTCTGACCTTTCCGGGATCCAGATCCTGAAGATGTTGTTCGAATCGTATCCAACCAGGTAGCCGATTTCTGCATGGGCTGCTGTCTTTAGGTCCCGTTTTTGGGTGCCCTTCAAAGCTTCCGTGGTCATCGGATAGGCCCGGCAGCCGAAGGCCCTAAGGTGCGATAGATCCGGCTGTTTGGAGACGAATCCGGTATCCTTTCCTTGGTCTTGGAGCCATGAAATTAGTAGCCCTAAGGGGGTCTTCCAGTCTCGGGCCTGTTGAGGCGATCTGTTGTATAGGAAGACGGCTGTTTTCCAACCCTCGGTCCAAAGGTCGGGCGGCAGGTTAGACCCTAGTAACATTGATCTGTTCTTAGGAGCTATTACCCCCCCAGATCGTTCGGCAGGGCCGTTCTGAGCCGGGTTATGAGGGCTCGAGGGTTCGTCCTCGATCCCTTCGTTGTTCATCCAATTGACCGTCCGGATGCCTAGGGCCCTGTCATTGTCCCTATGGATCCGGCAGACCCGAAGCCCGTATTGTGTCCGGATGTAGGATACAAAGGCCTGTAGAGCCCCTAGGAGTGAATCCTGTGTCTGATCGGATAGAAGATAGATGTGGATTAGGCCTGTGTATTCGTCCTTGATCAGCAAGGCAGCCTGTTTCCCGTCATAGCTTGTATGGAAGCTGAAGATGTCGATGTAGACCCTCCAATAGGGTCTCGGGGCCGTTGTCTGCGGGCTTCGTCTGGAGACCTGTCTGCTAGCCTTAGCTAGAGAGCAGGCTTCGCAGTCTGTTGCGATAGGTCCCTTGATGCGGACCCCTAGGGTCTGTTCTGTTAGATATTCTAAAGCCCGGGCGTGCAGATGACCTAGGCGTTGGTGCCAAAGGTTAGCATCGGCTGCTTGAGGTGCCCTGGGGTCTTTAGAAGAGGCTGCTGCTGTTGCTAGCTGGCCCGTTGGTCTGTCTTGGTCGGAAGAGGCTGCAGCAGCCGCTGTGGCTAGGGCTGTTGGTCTGACCTCGTTGAATTCGATGATTTGTTGGCGATGATGACGTCGGGTATAGAAGATAGTCTCTATCCCTCGGAAGACGGCCCCTGTTTTCGGGTTCCAGTTGTACCCGGCTAGAATCATGAGGTCTAGCGAGACAACGTTCGTGTGAAAACCCGGGATATAGGCTGCCTGTCTGAGCTGGAAGAGCCCGTCTTCAAGCCGTAGGTTGACCTGACCGTAACCTAGGATTTGCAGTTCGGATCCGCCTGCAAAGATAGGCTCGGGGTCCCTAGAGGGCTGATAGGATGAAAAGCGTGAGAGGTTGTTGCAGATGTGTGTGTCTGACCCGGAATCAAGGATAAAGGAGTCCCTGAGCGGATAAACCCTCGCTGGAACGGCTGTAATGGAAGCCGTAGATAGGATCGTTGGAGCCGGCTGTTGTTCCGGCTGCTGATCTTGCAGCTGACCTAGCCTGTGACCAAGCTGTTGGTCCGGCGGCTGTGTGGTCTGATGACCTAGCCTGTGACCAAGCTGTTGGTCCGGCGGCTGTGTGGTCTGAAGGGAAAGGCTGGCAAAGGAGCTGCCCTTGATGCGGCCTTCATCCCTGTTGTCTGTAGTGATCCTAGGGGCCTCTGGCTGGGTGTCCCTAGGCTTCAGTCTCTTCAGGGCTCGATCTACCCGTTGTCTTGTGGCAGGGTCTTCGAGCTGTTGATTGATCTGGAATTCGATGTCTGGGTTGGGCTTCCATCCGGCCGGGCGGATAGAAGCGACTAAATAATAGCATTTCGAATAGAAATGCTCTCTGCCGCAGAGGCAGGGGGTCTTTGGTCCCTTGGACCCGTTGGATCCGGCTGACTTAGAAGACCCGGATTGCTGGAAGGTGGAAAAGGACCCTCTCGGTGCCTTCGTTTCTGCAGCCTGTTTTTCGAACAGCTCGCTGATCTCGATACCGTCCGGGATCTTCGCTTCCCAGTCTGCCTTGCCCTTTGATGCCTTATATTGGATCTTATTCATCCAGATATCGGCAAAGGTTAGGTCTATAGGTCTGACAGCCTCTAGGAAATCTAGGGTTGGTCTGAGACCCTTAGTGTCAGGAAGGCCTAGGTTGCGGGCTTCTGTGAGGACCTTCTGCCAGCTTGTGACCCAATCCTTAGTCTTAGTCCGGCTAGGCCCTTTGAGGGCTGTTCGATAGCGGTCAAGGACTTCTCTTTCATGGAACCAGGTAGCTGGCTGGATCCGGGCTCGTAGGAGGGCTAGTTCCTTTGCAACGTCATCTTCGTCGTCGATGACATCTCGGTAGTTGCCGACAGTCAGGATGATCCGGTCTTGGATAGAGGATAGGGCCTTTTGGCGTTTTTCGTAGATCCGAACGTCTTCGAGATACTGTTTTTCGAGGCCATTGAGGTCAATCCTTTGCTCTGGAGTTAGCTCAGACAGCCTAGTTGCATCAGGCTTGATGTCTGCAGCTGTTGGAAAGACCGGCCGGACTAGGGGTTCCTTATTTTCCTTAAAGGGGTCAATAAGGTCCCAGACGTCCTTTGTAGTAGCTGATTTCCGGATACCGGCGATCCAGTGTTTCCAGTCACTGGGCCCATTGAGCTTGGCCCAGGAAGAGGCTTCCGTATCAGCAGCGCCCATCGCGATAGATGACTGCAAGCAACAGTGGAAGTTAATAACCTAGTTGGAAGGGCTAGCTTGAAGAAGCTAGATTGCAAGCCTAGGCTAGGAAGGGAGATAGGGTTGATAAGAGTCTAGTGAGACAGCTTGTAAGGGGTCTGATGAGACAGCTTGTAAGGCTCTGAGACGACAGCTTGATCAAAGAATATCGTCCGCTTCAGCTATGGGCAAACCGGGCTCATAACTGTTGGATCTGACAGGAAGGGTGCATTGTGATGTGAATAGAAGCTCTTGATTTCTAGCTAAGGGACGGGCCTAAAGCCCGTCTTTTATACATAATAAAGACGGCTGCTGCCGGAGGCGGCAGTCCGTCGCCGCCGCACAGGGGCCGGGGCCCTGTGGGTCCTAGGGACCGGGATCGCGGTCACAGGGCCGGCGATGTGGTCTGATGATAGTTGTGACAACACTAGATACCTCGGGAATCTTGAGGATGTCCAAGTACTATCTGTGCACAGATTAGCCACGTCTACGGAGGTAGAAACCGGTGGGGTTGGCGATGCGTGTTTTTGAGTCAAGGGAAGAGACGGCAAGGACCATTGAACAACGTCACGAAGCAGGTATTGGTATTTGTATTTGTATTTGTACCCTTATCTCAGTTTAATATTTCGAAAACATTAGAATGTGTCGCCCAATCAAGTCGCTCTGCACGGACGTCGCTCTAGAGTTTATAAGTTTACTTTTCTAGCAGTTCATATACACCTGCAAGGAATGTTTTCAGGTTGCAAGAGAAGGGTGCTCTCAAGGGGGATAGCCAGGTTTAAATACTTTTTCGAGGGAGCCTAAATTTCTTGACCTAGCTAAACTGACGTTATGTATGGCCTTGTATTCAGTTTAAACTTGTATTGATTTAAGATTAGTACGTCGAAATAATAGAGTTTTTGTTGAAGGCAAAAAGCAGAGTATTTTCCGCAAGTTAAGCTTGGAAGCCACGAGCAGTCAGTGGAGATACCTCCACCTTCTGGAATAAACCGCTATGGCTCTGGGGGTTGCTTCAGCGTTAATGCTTATTATATAGGCTGGTGGCATGGGGTTGTTATCTTTAGTCATTGGGATATCGCCGTCGGCATCGGGAGGCTCCTGACCATCCCAATTGACTGCTTCATCTACATCAATATAGTTTACGCCCACGTTTTCTGGCACAAATATAATTGGTATTGTATAATATGGTTTGGGGGAAAAAAAGGGGTTTAAGAGAAAAAAAGGTGTTTGAGAGAAGAAAGGTGTTTGAGCGACTGGGGGCTCCATGGCTTTATATACTTTTTAGTAGTGTAGGCGGGATAAACGCTCATGGCTGCACTGGAAAATAGGAGACTTACTTGACTCGCTATTGAATTATTCAGTAATAATGTAGTAACTATGGTATACTGCCTAGAAAGTGTAAGGATTAACTTACCGGAGTGCTATAGGGTAACTGGGAAGGGACCCAAATGATTAGGCGACATATTTTAATGTTTCGAATTATTAAACTGAGCTAAGTGGTACAAATAATAGTCAATGCGTGAACTGGCTCTTTGATTGCTCCATGCTGTTAAAGATGAGAAGCAAAGACTGGGAGATAGGCTTGAACGCAGGCTATTGGGGGCCGTTGCATAGATAGGAGATTTATATTTGGGCTCTGAAGAATCACTGCCTATGATCGTATGGCACTCACCCCTAATCTCCACCTGGGTAGAAACAGGGATCTAAGGAAGGCGATTTAACGAAAGCACATTGCTGTCCCAGGACTGGAGAGGTCCTGGGACTATGGATGTCCTGGGACTGGAGCGGTCCTGGGACTATGGCTGTCCTGGGACTGGAGTGGTCCTGGGACTGGTGTGGTCGCCCATAGCCCACCAAAGACCGGGACGGTGCAGTCCACACTGGTAGGTATGTAGCAATGGACTTCCGGAACGTCTGGAGAATGGCACTTGTATCTCGTTACCACCCACGTGAGGCAGCGGGATGCATCGCCACTGGCTTGCGGGCAGGCTGGGTTGTGTTCCTCAGCGCGAGAGTCGTAACTGCCCTTCGGAAATGGGTAGTCGTTGAGAGACGCTCTCTGGTCGATCTTTTCGTCGAGTCTTGATGAACTGGCTTGGCGTTAGCGATGCTTTAGGCTGCTCGAGCGCGTGGGGAATCTCGTCCATGTTCATTGGTTCAGGGGGCACGCGACCCAGAGTCTTCCAGGGCGTCGCCGTTAGCCCTGTTGAATGCCTCCCGTCCGCAACCATTGCTGAAATCTTCTTCCTGCACGAACGGGCTTACCGCATCGGAATCTACACCTTGCTTCTCCTTGGTGGCAAGAACCTGGTGCCTTTAGTTAGCGCAGCCATCATCGGCAGCTTTGGGTGGCGATGGGTTTTTTGGTGAGTACAACTTACAAGCATACCATTGGATTTCGGCTAACACGATTCCAAGGATCATGGCCATGATTATTGGTTTAGGCGGTGTTCTCCTCTTCCTGTTCGTCCCTGAAACTTTTTGGGATCGAACTCCTCATGCCCGACCACGACATCCCTCAAAACGGCCAGGTTTTCTTCCTCGGCTTTCATCTCGTCACCGGGCACCAGAAACCAGCTCTCACTTGCCTCCAGCAGACGACGTCCCTAACACCCCTTCGCCTCCGGACGCTGTGTTGGAGAAGCACAACGCTTCCCATGTAGGTTTCGCTCCCGAAGCCCATGCCGATGGGCAGCAGACCCCAGCTTCTGAAACCGTGCATCGACAAAGGGATGTTCACGTGGGGCTTGCACAGTCCTCGGGCATTGGGCGTATCCACGAATCTGAGAGTGTCCATCCCGACAACAGCCACCGTCTATCCTCCGACTCACCCAAAGCGGCGCTGCCTGCGTCCGACGAAATGGCTGCGGCCAACTCTCCTTATTTCACCAGTACGACAGGGAGCGAATCTAACGCCAACTCTTTCAAATCAGGGCCCAAACTTGAAAGCGAGGGAACTACCAGTTCTCAACTCAGAGGGCAACTCAAGGTCCAGGCTTATACACACAACCTCCGCCAGCAGCCCCCCAAGTCATTCACGCAGTAGCTCAGGCCTTGGCATGGTCGTCTCAACAACGATAACTGGTTCAAGGTTATGGCTCGGCCCTTCATCCTGTTTGCATATCCAGCGGTCCTCTGGTCATCGGCTGTGTATGCTTGCTCGGTCGGTTGGCTCATCGTGATTTCTGAATCGATAGCAATGATCTACCGCGATCCGCACCTTTACAAATTCGATGCCCTTCAGACTGGCCTGGTTTATATTTCGCCATTCGTTGGTGGCATCCTGGGTACTGGCGTCGCGGGCAAAGTTAGCGACATAATCGTCAGAGCCATGGCTCGACGCAATGGCGGGCTCTACGAGCCCGAGTTCCGCCTCGTTATGGCTGCGCCCATCCTCATCACAACATGCGTGGGTCTAATGGGCTTTGGATGGTCGGCGGAGGAGAAGGACCACTGGATGGTTCCCACGATCTTCTTCGGCGCTATCTCGTTCGGATGTTCGCTTGGATCGACAACAGCCATCACCTTCTGTGTCGACAGTTACCGCCAATACGCCGGAGAAGCATGGGTGACGCTCAACTTTGCGAAGAATGTTCTGCATGGCCTGATATTCAGCTTGTTTGTGACACACTGGCTCAGGGCAGACGGTGCGAAGATGGTCTACATCTGGATCGGCATCATTCAGCTGCTTTTAATGCTATGCCAATCCCAATGTATGTTTACGGGAAGCGGGCGCGCATGTGGACGGTTCGGGTCAGCTTGATGGAGAAGTTCTAGACGTTTGACCCAACATGCTAGAAGAGATGGCCACCAGGGGTGCAAGTCCCGGGGATCGCCCAGTCCAAGCGAGATCACCTCCAACAACGTGCTGAGTGCATCTCATCCTGCGACACGGGAACACTGTGTCTGTTTCTTACTTTCATCCGAGTTCACCATCGGCAGCTGGGTTCGACGGTTCCCCGAACGACGTACAAAATCTCTTCTGTCTGTGGTACACGACTCAAGTGGTGGTGGCTGATGCCATCGCCGCCACCATCGGCGGCGCGAAGCGCAGGATTGTGGTTGTTGCGGTGCACTTGTTAGGGAAAAAGGTGTAATTAGGGCTACTTTCTTAACATCTGCATGCCAAGAAAGTAAGATGACGAAGGAAGGTGTCTGGATCACCGTGATCCAAGTCCCAGTGATCCCTCTAGGGTAGGTTCTATCTAATTGGCTAGTCCATCTGCACAATAGCGGGTCTTCCGTAGTTCTTCCGTGTTTCTCCATCCTGGCTTGACATGGGTCGTAACAGTTAGAAGAGCTGGTTTTTGGGGGTTATTTGAACTTATATATAATGTTAAGGAAGCCGCAGAGGATATTTTCGGGTATGACGATAGCTTTAAGCGGCTCTGTTGATAGAAAAACTCGAGGGTATGAGGTTGCGGGGAAGTTAGGTGGCGGGCTAGATGAGGTTAGCAGTAAATTTTGGTGGTGGGTTAATTTGTATGCCTAAGGTTCTACTTTGTGGCTGGATTTTGCGAGTTTTTACGGTAGTAAGGTCCTCATGAGGGTGCGATTGACCAATCGCTTGTAAATTACACTACCCACCACTTTACGGATTATTCATCAAATAAGGTTGCGGGGAACCATTTAATGCAGAAATTGAATTTTTCAACAAGAGTTCATGATTACAACCTTGCACCCTCGTGTAGAATATTGGGATTGCATTGCGTCTTCTCCCTGAGTTCGCTTATCTTTCACTAGGGCCATAAAAGCGATAACCATCAATCTACACCGGATCACGGATATCGGAAGCCCAAGTGGGCCGACAGTAATAAGGGGCAAGCGGGGTATTTCACCTCGCCTAGGACTCACAAATACTTCAAACTTGAGAATGCATAAAGGTACTTTTCCCCGTCGTCGTCCAGTGGTAGAATTTTGATAGTAATTATCGATTTAGCCCAGAATTCCGTTGGTAGCATTAAGGCTGCATCACCCGACAGGAATAATAACGAACGACCGCTTGAATTTGTCACTTTCAGCATCCCACCGCAAGACGCAGATCCGACCAAGCATGCGGATTCATTAAGGGTGATTCGCTCCCACGCGATGAGGGACCACGTCTGGACACAAAATCACCCTTCAATTGCTAGAAAGGGATTGGGCGAGACCAATCGCACCCTCAGGCAACAATCAGCTCATATGGGAAGGTATAGATTGAATGAAAAACCGAACCCCGTGTCAAAGAGGCCACGACGTAGCAACAAAGGCACGACTAGTTCCGGCGATTGTACAATACCTTCGCAAGCTCGTTACTCCAAGGCCATACTTTCGGAGTTGGATTTGGGTTCCGTTCTTCAGCACCAAGTACTGCATGGTTCAGAAGTTTCGTTAGGCACACGCTTTAACCCTTTTGATGCAACTTTGCTCAACCTGGGATCTAAGAGCCAAAGACTCATATTCTACTGTAAGTTTAAACATCATATATATGTTTCCAAGTTATCTTAAGCTAGGGATACGATGCTAGAGTGTCTCCTTTGAAAATATGCACTAACATGCGCGTAAAGACCACCAAGCCTACTCCATGAACATCGTCGCCCTTAACTTTCAGGAACATTGCCTTTCGAACGCTATAGCCGATTCGGCGCTATTACATGCCATTTTGTACATCGTGGCCACTGAGTATGACCTAAAACGAGGAGAGTCAGATTCTGCTTTATCCATTCACCATGGTGGCGAAGCGGTTCGAGCGATCAACATGCAACTGAATAACGGTGTTTTGGCCGACACGACAGTCGCAGCTGTTGCAATACTAGCAACCAGAGAGGTATGTAGAATTACAAGCACATTTCTGATTGCATGGTTTAACAAAAGCACGTACCTGCAGAATCTCAACGGCAGGTTTCAATTAGCGAATATCCATATGAATGGATTGCAACGCATGATTGCGAAAAAGGGAGGGATAGAAAATATAAAAGACATACATCAGCGAGTAGCCACTTGGTAAGGTGTAGCAAGCGGCTTATTTCCTGTTTTTTATACTAATGTAGAACTCCCAGGGCAGACTTCTGCGACTCGAATGTGCGGAATTGTCGACCTCGTTTCTGCCAGCCGCCCATATCACCGCTAATACCCTTAAATAATGCATCTATAAACCTCATGGGTGCGATGCTTAACCCAGAGGATATCCTGGGAGCTGCATCACCTATTGTTCCTGTGATCCAAACCCTTAGACATATATCCCTGTCTATGGATTCAAGTCATTCTGGAATACTGGATAGGAGTCTGATCAGCCTCTCGATTTATGAAGCTGAATACAGTCTCAATCAGTTGAATGGACCGATGGGTGGCGTTGGTGAGTATGGAAATGGCCAGCCGTCTGAAGTCGTACCGTTGAAAATTGCGGCACATATCTATCTCTATCTTATGATTAGGGAGCTTCCGGGCGGTTCACCAGTATTTGGAGAACTTACTAGAAGATTTCGCGCTTCATTGGAGGCGCAGACGGAACAATGGTGGATTGCAAGCAGAGACCGACAGTGCTGGGTCCTTTGGATGCTATATATTGCTTTTGCGGCAGCACCAGAGGAACCTAATAAGCAGTGGTTCTTGACCAAAGGACTCTTATTGTGCGAGATGTTTAATTTGATGGCAAGAGATGAGCTGGAGCGCATCTTGAGGAGTGTGTTATGGAACGGTAGTCGATGCCATGATGAGCTGAATAAGGATTCTGGTTTTGGGGAACTCGTTAACATGGTGAGACAGCGACCAGTTTCGGATAACAGCTCTGATGCAGTAAATGCGGCTGCATTTGGTACGTGGAACTGCGCAAATTAATTAATTAGGGAGGACTGGGTGATAAAGAATAGACGTAGGGTGTCAAATAAATCTCCAAACCGGTTTTACCCAAGCAACAAGAACTGTAGCAGAATTTAGACAAAAGCTATGGACGACTATGCTAGTGCCGGATGGTAATCCACGACACGACAAACACGACCATGCGCCATACGTCCCCAACCCCAGCCTTCATTGTTTCACCTTGGCAATCTTTCCCAGTCAAGTCAAATCTAAATACCAACGAGATCTTTAGTATCCAACTCATTAGACACTGCAAAAATTTCATCGGCTTGGTCATCAACTGTCTTTGGCTCTCGGCCCAATAACTTCTCCAGCGTAGGGTCCAGAAAAGCCTTTTCACCTTGAGAAATTGCGGTATGCCAACTGGCCCAGTTGTCAAGGAAGCTTTCCTGCTCCGGAGGCACGCTCCCATTCTGTATGTGCCACTTGATTGCCTCCTGAATAGGTAGTACGCGCACATTGACTTTTCTGCCGGTATGCTTCATAAACTTCTCAATGATATCCGCCCCTGACAAGAGCTCAGGGCCAGTCAAGTTGATTATCTTGTTTATGTACTCTTGCTACTCTGAGGTTAGTTGCGAAGGTATAAACACAGACGCTCGTTACTGAGAGATGCACTCACCCAGTTGGCAATGATATAGCCTGCAGCCTCGCCAAGTTCACTGCGATCGGCCCAATGTTCAAGCCCGTCATTCGGCATCACAGCCTCCAGAGTGGCCTCAGGGTCGCCACTCAGATTTAAGAAACCAGCAAAGTTATTCCAGAGATGTGTGTAGGATGCCATACGAAGGATCGTATACGTGAGTCCACTTGCTTTTAAGTAAGACTCGGTCTGGAGATGAGCTTGAGCAACTTGTGCAACACTAGAAGTTCCTTCCGCACCACCGCAGAATGAGAGTGAAGTATAGATCACATGGCGGACGCCGACTGCCTTGGCCGCGTCGATAGCATTGCGATGCAAGGTAAAGCGTTCCTCGCCCATCGATGGGAATGACACAAGGAACAAGACGTCAGCACCAGAATAAGATTCCTCTAATGTTGGTGGTTCGTAAAGGTTGCCCTTGCGAATCTCAACGCCCGTGTTCACAATTGTGGCAGGTATGGCGGATGTGTTGTAAGACGAGAGCCGGAGTTGCGAAACCGGAATGAGTTTTTTATCCAAGATTGTCTGAAGGGCAGAGCGGCCAATGCCACCAGTTGAGCCTAGACCTTTATTAGCTTTGCTACTGTCACAAGGCAATTCTTGGGCCATTACCTGTAAGGACAAACATGTTTTGCTTCGAACGTGTGGATGTGAACTTTGTAACGATATGCAACCGAATTGCTATGCAGAGTGTGGATCTCAATAGAATAGTGTGATATGGATCTATACAAAAGACTCTGAAATTTTTGAAAGCTTGGGTTATATCAAGAATTTATATCCGCATGTGCCACACGTCTTGCTGTCGCGCTGTGTAAATAAACGAGCACGATAAAGACGGGCCATGATTAAGCGACTACGATTACAAATGCAGGCGAAAGGAAAAGTATGCCAAATCATAGAAGCGGAATCACATGGAAACAAGCTCTAAGTCCCGCTTACTTGTATGATTCTAATTTTCGTAATCACCGTATGACTGCCGACGATGCCGGGTTCGCAAATTGCCGAATTCAGAAAATGCTCTACATGACGGCGCTAGTTACCATCAGAAAGAATTACCGGATCCGGATAATGGTCTGCATTAGTGCGCCGCAGGAAAGGCGGGGGTCATCGCCCCACACATCTTAGGCCTGGCTCCGATCAATATTATTTGCTCATCTCTCCGGCGGAGTGGTGCTTTGCACGTATTCATGGTGAAATCACTCAATCAAATCATGCCGATCACGTCATGGCATATAATGGATTACTGATATGCCAAAGCCGAGCCTTGCAAGATTCAGGTATATTAAAGAATAAATAAATGGATGAATGCAACTTGTTCAGTTCTTCTACTCATCAAGGAAAATTCCAAATCCTCAGATTACTTGCAATCTTCTGTTCACATACACACGCATATTCGACTTATCCACATTCCTAATGGCATCTGAATCGAAACGGGTCATTGTTGTAACCGGTGCCTCGAGAGGCCTTGGTGTGAGTTGGTTCCAAAATTCACTCATGACCTATCCTTAATACTATGAATTAGCTTGAATGGGTCGAACAACTCAGTCAAAATTCAGAGAATTTTGTCATTGCTCTTGTCCGTAATCCGAATACTGCTGAGAGGCTGAAGCCCCTTCTTGGACCACAAGTCGTTGCAGTCAAAGGAGATGTCAGCGACTTTGATTCGTTTCCGGTACGCCCGGTTCCTTGCGTGACCTTTCCCCGCTCCATGACTAAATGACATTACAGAGAGTTGTTGAAAATATTTCCAAAGTTGGGGGTGGAAAGGTCGACTGGCTCATCAAGTAAGTCATACCGTCCAATTGTCCATCGTTGAACGCGCAGCTAATTTTTCTCGAGCAATGCTGGCGTTATGGCGGGTACCGGAGCAGAACCTATGACTGGCATATCAAAGTCTACAGTTAAGGAGTGGGAAGACCAGGTTTGGCTTTGACCTACCACCTTGGAAGAATAAATGCTGATTGCAACTGACGATAGTTCAAGATTAATGTTCTGGGACTTGTCTTTTTCACCATCGCACTCATCCCACTGCTTGAGAAAGGGAGTGAGAAGAAAGTCGTTAACGTCTCTTCTATGTTGGGCGATCTCGACTACACCGAAAAGAACCCAAACCTCCATTTCTCATCATACTCGGCAACAAAGGCCGCAGTCACAATGGCGAACGCTAAATTTCACCTAGAGTAAGTCAAGGATTTGGCGTTTATTCATTTTTTGTGAAGAATCACATTTACTAATATATTGGCATGGTAGATTTAAAGATAAGGGATTTGTGTTTTTGGCTTTGAACCCTGGTTGGGTTAAGACAGAGCTTGGTCCGGAGGAAGTGCAACAATACGTGAGTAATTATCACCCTTTGGATAGTAATTCATTAAAAGCGGTTCATCGAGACTAACAATTCCAAGGCACCACTCACTCCTTATAAGTCGATAAGTCGCTGTCTTAGTTTCGTGTATCGCAGCAACAGTGATGACAGTGGGAAATTCTGGTCATTGGACGGACTAAAAGAGGCCGTGACCGACTAATTACTATTTCAAATGAATGGTATACAGCTCTATATAAATGTTTCATGTCTACAGGTACTATTATGGATTCTTGTTTTGCGTTTATTTCGAGACTCCCCTGCCTATATTATAGATGAACGTCTTATAGCATGTATCTCCAGTAAACTCGACCGTAATACTTAGCTACTAATCTCACTATAGCTGCATAACTATTGCGATCAACCTCACAAGCTAGAGTAATACTGTAACAGTTGTGCTAGACCGCTGTACCATAGGGCAAAAGATTGGTCAATAATCGCATTGGTTGCAATTACTGTGGCACACAACAGCTCTTTTAAGCCCTGTCAGGTGACCAGGCCGTGATAAATACGACTTGTATATATTCGACAGTTATTTAAATGAAACTTTGATAAGATCAAATAATGCAATATAAGTCAGACCACCCATTTATCGATCAGGGGCTTAGCCGACCGCCCCCACTTACACAATAACTAAAATCGCAATTTAACTTCACTTATACATAAAATAACAACCAAGAGGCCTAATTAGTCTGTTTTAACTGATTTTTAATAAACTAACTAATGAAATTTCTAAATATAAAAAAAATAACTAATAAGAACAAAGGAAAAACGAGCTATTCTGAATCTTTAACCTCAGGCGTTTTTATTCGCCTTCTTGCTCTCTTAACATTCCGGATGCTAGAAAATACCTTATTTGGGTCTTTATAAACCCTTCCTCTCTTTTTAGCCTTCGATTGGTCTGAATTTCACTCTTGGATTAAAAGTCTTTCTTCTAATTGGGCAATTTGTAAGTGGAGCTTATCAAACCCCCGACTAATAGTCCGAAAAAGCTCCCTTGTAGTTGGGCTAGTTAGGATTTCCTTCTTATGAGAATGAACCAATAAGGTAACGTCTCTCGAGTTGCTAGGGGTTGTAAAAGGGCTGATTTCAGACCTCTGATTCGTTTTTGGAGAAATAGGTACTGCCTACACCTCAAGGCTTTAATATTGGTCAGCAGAATATTTTATATCTGTCGAAATAATTAAAGAGTGTAAGTAAAAGAGGAAGCCAACAATGAACACTACTGTACTGTACTGCGATAAGAATTAAAAAAGATGAAGCCAGTGGGTCCATCTTGAGGCTTCGGGGGTAGAAGACCCTGAATCTGGACCCAGTTTTTTTTCTTAGACCGGCATGCAGCCCCATTCACAGGAGACAAGTCGCATGGTTTGAAAGCGTGGCGCGGGCCAAGGCCAAGTACTGTCACAAGAAATAGAGATCTAATGATTGTTACAGAAGCTCTTGATTCCTCTATCTAAGTGAGCAGATTGAAGCCGTATTTCTAGTCGGCTGTGGGGTCCCTAGTCAAGGGGTCATTACTGCTTTTCTGAGGATGAGACCAGCTTCTAACAACTTTCTAATCGGACCGTAGCCTGTGAGACCGCGTAGTTAGGAAATCCGGCCTGATATTATTGACATGTGTAGTCGGAGGAGAAGCGGTTAGGGCACTGAAGACTACACGGAACACTGTGTTACCTATTTATCGTCTCCTGAAATTTCCTCGTCAAGAACTTCCAGAGCATCCCACGCGAACTTGGAAAAGTTCACGAAATGTGCCTTCTCTGCTTCCACGGCGAATTCATCTTTGCCGGATCCTTTACCATCGATGCCAAACCGAATGCCAAACTCGCCCACAAAACTATCGTATGTAATATTTAGCTTGGTCCTGCATATTCTACATATTGCCTGCTTCAGGCCCTTGTATGTAAATCCACTACGAGGAAATAGTTTTGTCACCGCGTGATACTCTTCCCCCGAAATCAGGTTGGGTCTGAGGCCGAGGTTTCCTTTGAATCAGGTAGCAGACAAGCTTCTTCAAACTCTGGAGGATCATGTCAAGGCCGGAAGGTTTGATCTGGCTGGAGTGCCTGACATCCCTGCCATTGAGGCTTTTGATAAGGCAATCAGAATTATGGCTGCTGTCAAGATCTCTTAAGACTCGAGCTACGGGAACTTTGAACATTTGAGCACCTCAGTCTCCTCCTCATCTGCCTCAATACCACTATAAGCAAGACCCGCCCCACCCAACACGCCGCCAGAGACTTTATCGTCGGGCATCATGGGCATAACCATTTCCCAGACCTGGTCGATGTGAGTATACTGGTGGTATCCCAGCCTCGCAATCGGCGCGGCCTTGAGCACATCGAACAACTGCGTACCATGCCGTTAGCTTTTATCTTGCTTCGCTCTTGATTTTTTTGTGTCACTTACACCATCCGGGGTAATATACTCCCCTTTGATATGAATACCAAGAACCCGTCCAATGACAATATCCGAATTGCCAACCCAATGTGGGCCAGCTGCTTTCTTACCGTGGTATTCATTGGCGATACGAACAATGCTATGTACGCGGCACTCGAACGTCACAGGCGAGTTTGCGACACGAGGTGGGCGCACAAGCCGCGATGGTGCTTTCTCAATGCCAAATTCTTCAAATTCGTCCTCCCAGGTCTCCTTGCTGGAGTTATTAACCTCATTGCGGAGGTCGTAACTAGGAACTTGAGTTAGTTCATTGTCTCTCTAGGAGTGACATGACAAGGATAAGGATATGTACGTGGCCATGTTCCAAACGAACTCATTCGTCTCGATGCAGTTCGCAACGGTGTCCCTCTGGCGCTTCTTGTAGAGGGATTGGTGGCCAATAAAACTGAGAATAGTGTCAATGCCCAATATGTTAAGCTTAGATATTAAAGGAAGACAGACAGAATCGTCGGCGGGTCAAAAGAGACATTCTGGAACTGGCTGAAGGGAGCAAGGTTATTCTTGCCGTCTTGGCTGGTGGTACTGATCCAGCCGATGGGTCGGGGGATGCAAAAGCTCTTGAATGGGTCATGCGGGAGACCCGAGGTCTCGCCCTTGAGAGGTTGATAGAAAATGTCGGGCTGGCTCATTTTGGCTGATAGCTAGACAAGGACGTATAGACAGTTGCTCTTTTGATTGTTGAATCCACAACTGAGTTGATTCCGAGAAGAAGGGCAAAGCTACAACCTATATATACCTGATGAATCCGCTAGGAAAGAAGAATATCATTTTTTACAGTGTATTCGGATATGTAGACAGGATTTTGATTGGTGTAGTTTGCGACACCTTGTGGCGAGGGGTTGCACAGTGTGTTCAGTAATCATGGCTGTTCCCCGATTACTGAACAGACCTACCCCGCCTCTCACATGTATGTCGCAGTGTGAGGATTACTGAGCCTCGCCTTGGAAAAACTTTATCGGAGCTAGATTTCTAAGATACTATGCAGAGCATCATTCTGCGCACGATTTGATGCTTCGCAACTGCCGATTGGTTAGAGCAGTGCAGGGGGTAGCCGCCACAAGAGCTTTGAAGCTGTAATCGTGACGTGGACCTGTGCGACAGGGAGGCCCGGAATTGGCCTGTCTTGTACACCGGCTTGGTGGTGATCCGAGACCTCCGTGAACAATCGAGCTCTATTCTCCCGTACTCAGGAGCCTCCATACAGGATTAAAAGGATGTTTCCTCAGTGCAAATTATGAGGCTTATCTTCCTCCCAAGTCACTCAGCTAGGAGCTGCATTCCCACATATTGTTACTCCCAATCCCAACTATTCCGAAACAAAGACTGTTGAACATGACAGAGTCCACCACGTGTCTTACCCACTACGGTGTATATGATGCCTCCACCAGAGCTATACCTGCCCTCTCTTTTATAGAAAAGTACAGCAACAAGGTTGATTCACTCGAAATCTCCGGCCCATTTCATTCGTGGTACGCTCCGAGTTGCAACTTCTACAACGCCAACGGTGTCGTCTTACGAAGTGGTGATGAGATTTGGACTTGGATGAAGAGCCTTTTTGGGCCATTTGACGCTGTCCAACATTCTATTAAAGTGGTTCGCCTCAGTACGTTTTTGCCATGCCCATTTTGCCGCTTCGGGTATCTCGGGAGGTCAACGTGCTCCTAAGACATCTCTTTCTATCTACTGAATCCTCCTAATTACACTGAAAGAGAGGGAAATGCTAACACAAGAGGTTGGACAGTTAAAGCTACAACTACAGAAGCAGCTCCAGAGAGAGATGCCTACTGGGTAATGTTGGAAACCGATACAGCATTCTCCATAAAAGACCCGCTATTGGCTGGGGGTCCGATTGTCATCCCGAGGTTTCTGATGTTCCTTATCGGAAAAAGTGAAGTTGAAGGCCAAGGGACAGATGGGTTGCAGATTCTAGAAGCCAAAGTTTGGTGGGATACTGACATGCTAGGACGGGAACTGGCGGCAAGAAAGAAGAAACTTGACCAGGATCATTAAGAGATCAATAATTTTAAATAAAATTTTCCCCTCTCTTGGATTCTTCAAAGTTCCATGACTTAGCAGGCCATGTCCCGGTGCGCACCAGGGGGGGTCAGGTATCAACTGTGTTGTGCGATGCAGAGGAAAAGCTGTCACGATGCTACGGAGGACCATTTCAAAAGTCTTTGCCCACGCTAAGGACACTAGCGCAGCGGGAAAAAGCAAATTACTAGGGAAAATGTATCAGGCTGTTCTCTCATGTACCTACCGATCCGTCCCACCTTCCTTATACTCATTTCCACTCTCCAATTCGATGATTTTCTCGATATGACGAGGGATGTGTTCGATACAAGCCTGAATAGCTTCCTGCGGCAATTCCTCCCAAGCAGCTTTCCAAGCCCTGACTGCGTCATGCCGTGACTTAGGCGCTCCTTTCTTCGTAGTCCGTCTCTTCATCCATGGCCAAGCTGGCTCGATAGCATTAAGGTCTGGTGAATTGGGGCACCAAAGCAGCCGGGTGATGCTATTCAGATCATAGCACCGTTGCTGTATGTAGTGGTTATGTGCCGGGGCCTTATCTTCTTGAGCCAGCAGCTCGGCTCCAGGTTCCCCGATATGGACTCGGGTGGTTCAGGAGAAACACAGACAGCGCCAGGGATGATGATATGAATTATATTTATGCCGTACAATTATTTGGTAAACTAACTTCATTACATCTTCCAATTGCGTACTGATGAAATAGTTTGAGTAGTGATAAGGAAACAGATGAAAACGAGGATTATCTGCTAGCTTAAATGCTTTCCGGGACGGGATTTCAAAATAGTACGTTCTAGCAGCCCGGATTTTTAAGCAGAATCCTCCAATCGTCCTCGTACCAGAGATTCCCGCTTCAGCAAACAAAGTTAACATTGTGACATCTTGAAGTATCATGGGGCGGGGTTGACTAATTAAGACCGCTTCAATGGCGCCCGCTATAGGCGCACCCGGATGCGCATTTAGATTTTTTTACATCTTCTGTAATAACCTAACAATTTATTTATATTAAATTATAAAAACTTTATATGGAATATATATTGATATAATAAATATACTAATGATTATATATTTTTTATTATACTTTTTTTTAAATTTTATTTTAATTATTTAAACTGGAATGAGAGTATTAGCGCACCTGGGTGCGCTAATTTAATAAATAATAACTAAGCATAAGTTTAAATAGCTTATAACTATTTAAGTTTTTAATATATAGTAATAAAAGTAAATTATATATATAAACATAATATAATAGGTATTATAGAAACTTTTCTATAATTTCTAACTAATTTTATTGATTTTGTAGAATTTAAAACGTGAGAAATTCTAAATGCGCATCCGGGTGCGCGTGTAGCGGGCGGCCGCTTCAATTTATAGTGCGTGATTTCTAATCGCTAAGTTTTGTTGTCCGAGCGCACAATAATTGGGGTACACAGAGCGGACCTTCAATTCGCCTGAGGACTTCGTCATCGTTCGCTAAAATCCCACCCACCTGTCTCTGACAAAGTACCCACATGGAGCATTAACTTTGCCGACCCTAAATAATACGAGGAGGCTCTAGCTGCAGAACCCAGAAGAAACAAAAGAGGCGCCATCTAGCCTACGGCCCCGTTTATGCGCATTCTTTGAGGAGGCTTGGTTCTGGATGAATAATCGCTAAAATATAAGACAGCAACACTTACGCGGGTAGAGTAGGATCCAGGCCGAAGCAATGGTTCGTGATTACTGAACACCGGCATAATTTGCTTACATCATATGTACCTGGAAACAGAATGGATAGTGGCACGATCTTATGGCCATGCTCCTCCAGTCATACATCAACCCCTGAATCTTCAAGCCAACGCGAAAACCGAATTTATGCGGGGAGCTCTTGTTTTCTTTGGGGGAGTAACAAATAAGGGGTATTCAGCTAGTTCTTGGGGCTAGAGAAACCGGAGGCAAATGGCGGCACAGCGCTATATCTACTGGCGATCGCCGATTCGCGCGGTGGCGGCGCATGGAAATTGCCTTCCCTTGCGACTTTGGATGCCGGGCAGCGCTGACCCCATCCTTGAAGTCAACAAGCAAGCACCAACAACCCACTAGATCCGTCAGCCTCTCAGCTCGGGTTGAATTAAGATCGGACGGTCTCGGAATGCTTCACCTGAAATCACTAATGCGAACATCGCGCATCCAGATGACACCGTGAGACAGTCTAAAAGTTTCCAGTGCCTCCTCTCCGACCTTAATTTGACGCCGTCACCATGCCTGTCTGCCGTATAGCCTCTGACCTAGTTGCCACACGCTGGGTGATTCCGTAGGCTAGCTCGGACTATGGATTTGCCAGTCGCGGCAAGTCCGATCCCAGGACGAGGAGATTTGGCCACGAGCCGCCGTAGGCGGGAGGATGGAGAGAGGAGAGAGGACTTGTCTGTGTGAGGAGATGAAGTGAGTGAGTAAAGCGTGTACTTGTGGGTTGCGTTTCTACTCCCTAGGTTGCGGAGCTGGGGCCATACTTGGGCATTATAGAGTAGAGGGAGCTCTACCCACTTCTCTACCCTACCCAAGTAGAGTGGGTAGAGTGGTAGGTAGATTGGTGGGTAGAAGATAAGGTAGGTAGGGAAGGTAGATAGTGTATATATGCTCAATTCTTCAAAATATGCCACTTTATTTTATACATCCCAATCCTCCTCATCGAAATCAATATCCATCTCATCTATCTCCACAGCCTCTACAATCATCGCTAGCAGCTCCTTCGAAGAGATGAGCTTCCTCGCAAACCAGTTGCCTATACACTCTAACCTCTGGAGGTTCTCTGGTGATAACCTAAGCCTATCCCAGTTCCGTATACGGCATGCGCCTGAGAATTGCTGTTCTGGGTCAGCGGATGAGGGTGTGATTAAGAGGATATTAATGGCTATATAGTGGAGATGAGGATAGTACTAATATTGCTCTAGAACTAATTACTATTAAAAAGAAATTATTTTTAAAATATTAAGATTAATAATTTTATTTTTAATAAATATTATAAATATTTTTTTATTTTTTTATAAAATAAATTAATTTTTTATATAATTTTTTAATTAATTTAAATTTTTATTTTTTTTTAAAAATAAATAATATATATTAATATTAATAATATTAAAAATAATAATAAAAAAATTTTTATAAAAAAAACTTTTTTAATTAAATTAAATAAATAATATTAATAATTTTTTAATATTATTTTTTAAATTAATTTAAAAAAAATATTATTTTATAAAATTAAAAAATATTATAATAATATATATTAATATTAATTTAATAAGAATATAATATTTATTAAAAATAAATTAATTTATTTTAATAAAATAAATTATATAAAGATTCTTTTTTAAATTTAATTTATATAATATTTATAATATATTAATTTTAAATATTATCTTAATAAAATAAAAATAAAAATTTAATTTTAAAAAAAAATAAAAAAAATCTATTAAAATAAAATTCTAAAATAATAAAATCTTATTATTTTTAATTTATAATATATTATTAGTAAATATAAAGAGATTTTTTTATATATTTAAATATATTCTACTTAATAATATTAAATTAAAAGTAATTATATTTAAAATATTTATTAATAAAGTTTTTAATTTCTTATTCTTTATATATTATACTTTTAATAAGATAATATTATAAGAATTATTAACTACTATTATTAATTTCTAATATAATATTAATAGCTTTAATTTATAAATTATAATAAATAAAGCTATTTTAAAGTTATATAACTAGATTATAAAGTTACTAGAGTATAATAGTAGTACTCCAGCCTTTAAAATTCTTATACTTTACTTTAACTTTACCCCCTCTTCTCTAAGCTTATTTATAAGCTCTTATTGAGACTGGTTATCTTTAACAACTAGTATATTAAGATAGCCAGAGAATAACTTATAAAAGTCAGTTATAAGAGTTAGCTTCACCAGGGTAATACACTAAGATCTAAAGATAAGATACACTATATTATAAAGCATTCACTTGTCGAGTACAGGTTCTGCACTCGATGAATAGAGCTATAGACACTATGTCAGGTAATCTGGCTCTAGAGTGGGGCGCTGTATCTGCCCCTATCCCCCTAGCTCTTACATTGGTATCTTACATCTCTTCAATAGCGGCAAGAGCAGCTTCAAGAGCTTCTTTTAAGGTGGCAAGAAGAAAGACTTAAAGAGCAAGATTAAAAATATAATTAAGGCAGCGGATGCGGTGCGTAATTGGATCATAATCAATTTATTCGATATAAGTAAATACCTATCTAAAAGCTAGTATATACAACCCCAAGTTCAAGTTTTAAAGACCGAGAGAGCTCAATAAGTAGAGTATCATTTAAAGTGGCGTTATCTCCAGTGTAATAACCGAGTTTAGTTGTTATCCCGAAGGATTTAAGGGTGCGGAGGATGATAGCCGCCTGGATCTCTCCAGGGTGGCTAAAGAGCACCTGTGGGAGTGCGAGACAGCAGGCAGCGCTTGTAGAAGACCCGGGTTCGAACCCCTGGGGGGTCATCATTTTTTCTGCTCTTTGCCCCTTGACACGGGGGTCCGTGGCGACATGAGGTACGTAGGAGATCGCTGCTAGCAATTTTGCTTGCCAAGCCCTGGACCCCTGTTCAGCTTGCAATTCATTCAAGGCAATTCAACTCAAGCTAATTCCGGGCTTTTACTGCCCAAGGTAATCCAAGTTGAAGGGTCAACTTGGATTGAATTGAATTGTGTGCAGCGCTGTCTGGCTCGTGGTAAAGCAGGTGAAATGACTCTCGAGGAGCCAAAGGTTGCGGCGTTGGAGGCCATCGCTAGGCTGCTTCGGCTCTGGGCTGTAAGTGGGTTAACCTGTAGCAATATTTCCCCTGCTGAATCGATGCGTAGCAGCTGAACAAGCCGGACGAGGAAGATAGGGTCGAAGAGAAGGAAGAGGACGGGGATAATTTAGCGTTTGCATTATCAATAATGGCCTTTAGCCCTTTAGCCCATTTGTAGCATGACTTTGTCTGCAGGATGAAGCTATTCTGCGCTTGTCCGTTGTGGCCTCTGCTGTTATAGGTGTTAAAACCGATAGTTAGGATAAGAGGAGGGTAACACGATGTCTTAAAACGGCCCCTAATGTCAGCATTGACAAGTTTATTCACGTGGGACGTACACTAAAAACCGCTAACGTGGAATTCACCTCGAGAATCCTTTTAGATTACTTGTTGAAATTGAATGCCGAAACTTAGACCCACACTAATAACGTCATCTGAAATGTCCTACCGTTCGTCCAGTGCCCCCAGATCGAGTGTGCCTTGCCTATTTTTCCTTTCGTCATTGCAAGTGGACGTATAGATGGCCGCTCTTGAAGGCACAATCCTTTCCCATCTAAAACGTGCCGACGTGCTCCTCAAGGGGCCAGAAACGCTCTCAAGGATTATCGGCGTGTCTAACAGAGGGCTCTCAATGGCCCAGCTGAAGGCGGTGAGGCTGTGCAGAGTTCGACGACTATGACCTTGGCTTCAAGCTTGCACACATAGTTATGGCCTGGAAACCGAAAGGAAGGGGCAAGGATTCCAAGCTATGGCGAACGGCCCGGCAGGATGCCCATATCGTTATGATTATCGAGTAAGCCTACTCCCGAGCTTTCCGGCGGCAGATGGAGCTCTCATCACAGTTTCTCGCCCGCGTGAGCTGCGAGCGTGTCAGGACGGCCGATTACCCGATTGGGCAAATTGGCTTGTGGAGGCACGGGGCGATTTCTAAGTTTGCCGAACTATGTGGCCTTGACGCGGGAATGACGTAAGGAGGATTTAATTAGACCGAGGAAAGAAAAGGAAAAGAAAAAAAAAGGCAAAACAATGGGGCGTGAATGCAAGGTAACAAAGAGACGTTCGCCTAAGCCGCCGGACGCATCGTCAGACATTGAGTTAGCAACAATGTCAAGAAGATGAAGTGAGGCAAGTCGCGGTCATTGAAGAGCACAGGAGGCACTTTGACTCTGATTCAACTAACCATGATGAGACACAGCCAGCACAATCAGCCCGCACTCCGCTTCGGTCGAGGCCTTCTCTCTAGCCCTTGACGCTAGTGAAGCAAGCTCCGTCAGCAGGGGAAGCTTTATAACCAAGAAGATTGCAAATCCTTTGCGGAACGGCGTGGCGCCCACCAGTGACCACCTCCACTGAGTAATCCACCAAAGGATCCCCACAAAACCAACACGGCTATTACAAAGTTCTAGCAACTCAAAGAATACCGAGCACGCCTAATCCCCGATCAGTGATGGGCATTGGAGAGTTGGCCCGAGTGGCTTGCGCTATGCAACCATAGAGGCGACCAGCTACAGCGTGAATGAGAGGATGGAGCTTGATTACCCAGCAAGATGAGAGTCGCGGGGAAGGGTTGGGTGCGAAGGCCAGTGGTTGAGTGTCTGGTGGATGGGTATAAGACGTGATGACATCTCGAGGGAGGATGGGAGACTCTTCCGTCGTGTCAATCCAACAAGCTTAGGCTTATTAACTCTGAGAGCCTCTTTCTGAACCCCTTTCGAGACAGACGTTGCCATATCTTGATATACCCACCTTGATAACTCTACCCTCAGCAAGCCCCTGTGCACAGCGACACAATGGCAGACATCATCCGAGACGCCGCTCTGGGGCAACTCATCCGTTTCCTCACTAAGAACAAGTACCTTAAATACCCCGAAGAGAAGCCCGGCTTTAAGCTGCCTGACCCCTGGATCACCCTCATAAATAACCCCGATGCCGTCGTCGTCGAAGAGTCCCCCAACTCGGGCGACACGAATATCACAGCCAACGCCTCCTCCACCGACGATGGAGACCTAGACGAAGAGGGCAAGTCCAGGACCGAGCCGGAGCACGACGAGGACCCTGAAAGAGGGTCTCGATCTCGGCCAGATCCTCCTCCTCTGAGCCTCCATCGCACGCGATCTCAGCTGGAGACGCGGGCTTATACGGTCGACCGGTTCCATATCGATGAGCAGCATGATATCGAGAAGGTTCAGTCTATTCCTGTTGTGCCCAAGAGGACAAAGGATGGTGCTATTCTCGTCGACTGGTACTATTCAGATGACTCCGATAACCCCCAGAACTGGACGAATAACAAGAGACTGGGCATCTCGCTGATTATATGTTTATATACTTTTGTGGTATATACATCGTCAGCTATCTACACTTCCTCAACCGAAGGCGTCATGCGCACTTTTGGCGTAAGTCAACTTAAAGCCACGCTCGGTTTGTCTATCTACGTTCTGGGCTACGGCATCGGTCCCCTGGTGTTCTCGCCCCTGAGCGAGATCCCTCGCATTGGCCGCAACCCTGTCTATATCGTCACAATGTTTCTCTTCGTCATCATCTCGATCCCGACGGCGCTGGTGGATAACTACCCCGGCCTCATCGTCCTGCGTTTCCTTCCGGGCTTTTTTGGCTCGCCTTGTCTGGCTTCGGGTGGTGCGTCGCTCGGTGATATATATAGCTTGATGGCTCTGCCATATGCCCTGATGGCTTGGGTCGCCGCCGCCTACTGTGGACGTAAGACTTCTCTACTGTCTTGTCGCTTCTAGTAATATGCTAAATTGTCTTTCAATAGCCGCCCTCGGCCCCCTGATCAGCGGCTTCGCCGTGCCCGCCAAGTCCTGGCGCTGGTCTCTATACGAGAGCATCTGGGCTTCCGCTCCCATCTTCATCCTCATGTTCCTCCTCCTCCCTGAGACGAGCGGTGCCAACATTCTACTCCGTCGCGCTAAGCGCCTCCGCAAGCTCACAGGTAACGAGAGCTTCATGTCTCAGAGCGAGATTGACCAGCGCAACATGAAGGTCTCGGCGGTTGCTATCGATGCTCTGATCAAGCCTATGGAGATCACCATGAAGGACCCCGCTGTTCTATTCGTGCAGGTCTACACTGCTATCATCTATGGCATCTACTACTCTTGTAAGTGTCGCTTCGCTGTACTACAGTCGGGGATCAGTTGCTAACTCGACACTCAGTCTTTGAAGTCTTCCCCCGCGTCTACCCCGTTTATTACAACATGAACCTTGGCGAGATCGGTCTGGTCTTCCTCTGCATCTTGGTCTCCTGTATTATTGGCGTGGCTGTCTACTTTGCCTACCTGTACTACTATGTGGACCCCCGCATCGCGAAGCTAGGCTGGCCGGTCCAGGAGTCCCGCCTCCTCCCCGCGCTTCCAGCCTCGATTGGCCCTGCTATCGGTCTCTTCCTCTTCGCGTGGACAGCTCGAGCGTCAATCCACTGGATTGTGCCGACCATCGGCATCACTATATACGGTGCTACTGTCTTCATCGTTATGCAGTGTATCTTCGTGTACATTCCTCTCAGCTACCCGATGTATGCTGCTAGTCTGTTCGCTGCGAACGACTTCTTCCGAAGTGCTTTTGCTTGCGGCAGCATTCTCTTCGCCCAGCCACTCTTTGACAACCTCGGCGTCGCTAAGGGTACGAGTCTGCTCGGTGGGTTGAGCGTCATCGGCATCATCGGTATCTGGCTGCTGTATTTCTATGGCGCCAGGCTGCGATCGCTCAGCAAGTTTGCGCTCTCTGAACAGGTGCAATAAGTACCTTGGACTATCGACCTCATAAGTTTAGGATGTTAGTCTAAAGCCTGATGGAGTTTTATGTCATATCATCTAGGGTTTGAAGCAGAGGACGACTGGTTCTAGAATAAAGTAATGGAAATACTATAGATTACAATATGGAGGATAGAGCTGATTCAATAGATAATACAGATAATGGTATATAATTTTCGAGTAACACAAGCATCTTTACTGTCTCATTTCGCATATGGAGTGATTAATACGTTCCCCACCCTGCACCGACCTTATAGATGCTAAGTAGAACCGTTCAGAATACTGAGATAGTTAATAAAAGTTCCTTTTAGTAGCAGCACTTTCTAATTATATATTAGAACATAACAAATAAGAATAGATTATATCTTATAAGTCCTTTAAGTACTACTTCTAAGGTATATTAAAGCGTGGCGAAAGAAGGGTCCTTAAGGCAAGCTTCATAACTTCGTCGTTTATACCCAACGGAGTATTCAGCGCAGCCAAAAGTTTCTTGCTGTCAGCCACAACCGTAAGCTTGCGCGAGACAATAATACAAGATGGAGCTCGTGGTATACTATATTAAGGGCGGCATTAAATCTTAGAGATGCAATTGACGGCTATTTTAATAAATGGATAGATGCAGATTGCGCTAGAGACAAGCTCTCTCCAGAGGACTGGATTATCTTAAAGAAGATTAAGTCCTTCTTAGAGAAGCTGAAGACAATAACTAAGGCTTTTGAGTTATTATTTATAATACTCGATAATATCTTTTTAGTAATAGACTTTATATTAGTATAATTTAAAGCTATTAAGAAGGTAACTATTAATAATTTGGTAATAGTATTAATATATAATTTGAGCTGGGCTAAGTTGGATAAATATTATTATCTTACTGATAAATTGCCTGTATATATTATAGCTATTATACTCTACTTTTTATATAAATAGTATTATATCTAGAAGAATTAGAAAAAAAAGAATTAAATTTTTAAAAAAGTTAATTAAGATATTATAAAATAAATATAAATTTATAGAATTACTACTTTCTTTTTATAAGATTCTATTAATAACTATAAATAAATTCCTAAATTAGAGAAATAAGTTCCTATAGCTATTACTTATTATTAATAAACATAAATAATATTATAATTCTAAATAGATTTATAGCTTTATAAATATTCTTATATAGTAATTAGAGGAGATATAGTAGAAAACCTACTTAAGTTTAAGTAAGATAGCTATAAATATATTATTAATTTCTATAATATCTACAGAGCCTAAATAACTTTTATCTAGGGTAAAAATAATAATTACAGACTGTTGAAATTAACTTAAATATAATATAATTAAAGTATTAGAATGCCTAAAGTTATAATTTAATATATAAGATTTTTAGAGTAATAAGATATATATAGAAGCAATTTAGTAATAGGGTTACGTAGAATATATTAAATATATTATTATACTGCTAATATATTGGGTTCTTAGTAATAAATATAATATGAGTCATATTTATATTGGGTAATATAATATACACCCCTTGATAATATAATAATATTATAAGGGCGTCTATATTGCCAATATCGTATTGTTTATATTATTAGCAATACTGGCAAGTCGGGTCTCCAATCATCCAATTGTAGCAACGTTGGCTCCAGCCGCTGGTAGTTAGACTTGCGCTGGGGCTCTCAAACTTCGATGAGTCAGGAGTCCGATAATTGAGATCACCATCGTTGTACGTATATCTATACAGGCCAGGAGACGGCATATCGAACATCTATCGCTGGTGTGCCAACGTGGAAGCTCCGGTTTAACACCAACAGCAACTGGCCCGCTTGCCAATGCATTCCACATACGTCTGATACAAGATACACTTGGAACGAGCCGACCACCCATCGCAGTCCACGAATTGCCTCGATGTCCTTGCAAATTCTGCTAGCTCGCCATCATATTATATCAGCTCTCTACTGTTTAATTGCATCCAGATTCCTCCCAAACTGCCTTGTCAATCTACTCGACATTCTGAAGTCCCACTAGTTCGACAGATCTTTCCCAAAGTTTCACGGCCTTGTCCTCATTATACACCCAAGGTGCGTAGCCAGAACCCATCTCCCCCGTTTCAGGATCCCAGGGCCCAGCAATCTGGCAGTCTTCGAGATACTTCCCTCCCCTTCCTTCCAGCGCCTTGGACATGGCAGCCCAGACAGTGGTCGCAGCACCCTGTTCAGTATTCTTCCATTGTGGTCCCATTGTCTCATGACTTATCCATTGATCTACCGTCTCTTGCGAAACGTGCTTTTGCAGCCCAGTTGAAATTCCTCCGGGATGGACGCTGAAGGCGTGAAGGTTCCTAGATCCATATCGTCGCTCAATCTCATTTGATGTCCAGATCGTAGCAGTTTTGCTCTGACCATAAGCCTTCCATGGGTCATAAATCCCTTCCAGGTTCATATTGTCAAATTCAACTTCGCTAAAACGATGTGCACTGGAAGAGACCATGACAACGCGAGAGGCGAAGTTGGGCTCAGAGGCACGCAGTAGCGCAGGTTTCAGCAGTTGGAACAGTAGGAATGGTGCCAAGTGGTTGGTTCCGAACTGAGTCTCGAAGCCGTCCTCCGTTTGGCCTTCTGGCGTTGCCATGACGCCAGCGTTGTTGATAAGAATGTTCAATTTCTCCGACTTGGACAGGAACTCTTTAACGAAAGCCCGAACGCCTGCCAAAGAGTTCAGATCGAGTTTTAAGAAGTGGAAATTCTCCATTTCAAGCAAGTCTCCCAATGCAGCTTTCGCTTTCTCTTCATCGCGAGCGGTAACGTAGAGTCTCGCACCCGTCTTCGAGAGAGCACGAGCCGTTTCAATGCCTATACCAGAGGAGCAGCCAGTAATCAAGATGACTTTTCCAGTAAGCTTCTGTTCAAGACCTTCGTCTTGAATGATATGTAGCGCAGTGGGACGGGCGTCACCCGGGCCGGAAGGGTGGGAGTGAACTGCGGCATAGGTTGTGGCCATTTTGATAGAAGATGGTTATGCGTGGAGAATTCAGAAAAGAACATTAGAGAATAGGAGGCGGGTTGAGTTATCCATGCTGTATGGCAAACAACGGCGCTATATATACAGCAACATTGGCGTCCTCGACACGGGCAAAAGAGGACAAAGACTGCAGTTTCGGAGTTAAGGACGGGCACCGGTTACTCCGGAGCGTCCTGCATCACCGTGATGTAATCCAGCAGGCTGTGGCGTCGTAACGTAACCTAGAAAATGACGAAGATTGCGGTGTAGGTAACCTTCACCTCTCCATGTGTCAAATCCACCGATTTGCACTATCTCGAAAGTGGCAAGCTTTGGTGCGGGTAAGGTCTGACAGATGCTGACAAGCGGGCGGGGGCCGGCGGTGCATGCGGACGCGGGCGGGCGGACAAGGAGCGGACGCGGGCGGGCGGACAAGGAGCGGACGCGGGCGGGCGGACAAGGAGCGGACGCGGGCGGACATGGAGCGGACGCGGGCGGACATGGAGCGGACGTGGGTGGACAAGGAACGGATGGCTCAACTGCGACTCCCTCCGCCACGATTCAAGTTCAACAGTCTCTCAGCAATCTCTTTGGAAATTACGCGTATTGATGATTCGAGGGCGGAACCACGGTACGAATGAGTGCTGATACACGGTGCAGTCAAATATATGTAGATTCCCTACTCAAACAGGAGGGACCGGTCCGGCAAGCGGCCCGCCAAAGGAAGCCTGGAGGAACTGTTCTAGCGGAATTAAGCTGGTGAAGAAGTGCTGCTTCTGTCAGAAAGCTAGCGTGGCACTCGGATGACTTCGCCTCTGATCAATTGTGTATTGTGTGTGTTCTTGGGAGGTGCCCTTGCTGTGATAGCTCAAGTGTAAGTGTCCCCCCCTAAGAGTGGGGCCCTAAGCATCTACACTAATAGGCTGCCCTGACTTGTTACGGCTTGGTTCACCGAACAGCGAGAGAGGCTTAAAAGAGCAGCTAGTATGCCCAGTAATTGCAATCAATATAATTATTGACCAATCTTTTGCCCCCTGGTACAGCAGTCTAGCGCAACTGTTACATGACTGGGAAATTTATACTAGGTGAAGCGGGGTTGGGACTAGAGTCTAAAACCTCTATCTTACGTGGTGGCGTACTGAAGAAAAGTATATTCAGACAGATAACTGGGCAGCGTATAAGGTCGATAGTATTCCTCTACGCAAGGTTAAGGATAGTTGCGCTGCTGCAGTAATATCCGGCTTCAATCGACCTAGGCCGACAAATAGCTAGAATAGGCAAGGAATTAAGGAGGAGCTAAGTGACGATACCAGTATAGTTATAGAATAGTCTCCTTTCAGGGTTCTTAAGATTAATTATAGGATATAATATAAGATTAGTAAGGAGGATATTCTTATATATTTAATATTAAGAAATTATAATAAATATAAGACTTTTTAAGCTAGTCTTATAGGTTATTATTAATAATTTTTTAAAAGAAATAAGAGAAGGTTATCTTTTTAATTAAGGCTAGAAATCTAGTTATATAATTATACTCTTCTTTTTTCTACTTTAGTTCTCTTACTTTTAGCTAGCTTAGAAATACTCTATTTCTTTCTTTTATATATTAGAGTAGGAGTAGAAAGAGTAAGTTAATTATCTAATAACTACTCTATATCTAAATTACTATTTATATAATTACTATCTAAATTGCCAGTTAGCTAAAGTAATAGATATAAAAGGATAAGATATATCTAAACTTAGAATTAAAAGTACTGGATTAATATTAGCTATAGTTAGATTTAGTAGTATATATTTTTTCTAGAATAGGCTGGTAGTTTAGTTGCCTTATAATCTAACTACTTTAATAATAGTATTAGAGAAATAGCTTTTCTTTATAGAGAATACTTTTAATTATAGATTAAAGATAAAAATAGGTTTCTACTTATAATATCTTTAGGCCTAGCTAGTTGTAGCAGTATAGGCAGCTTATTAATAGAATTTAATAATATAGGTATAGATATATTATATATATATTAATATTCTTTAAATATATAAATAGATATTTAATTCTATATAATATACTATAACTCTTTTATTATAATAGCTTTAAAGCTAAAAAGAAATTTATTAAAATCAGGAAAAAATATCCTCTTATAATATAAAAAACAGTGTTATTAACACTATTTATACTGTTTTAGTCGGACTAATATTAGCCCGATAATTGGAAATTAAAGTTTGCTTTGAAATTAACTTGATTTTAAAGCTGGATATCTCGGCATCTAGAATACAATAGGGAACAATTTCAATACTATCTGAAAGCCGATTTTTCAGGCTATCTAATGGTATATTTATTGTCTAGCTACAATAGCTAGATTTTGAGATATTATCTATAAAAAGCCCGAGACTTTCCAGTTATTTAAAACTTAAGATTCTAAGAATTATATACTACTATATATTAATATACACTATAATATACTATCTTATACTATCTATCTTCTATCTATATATACCTCTTAACCTTATATTCTTTATTAGAATATTCCTCTTATTATAATATTATTTTATTTTGCTACTTAATAACCTCTAACACTTAATATATTACTATAGATAATAACCCTTTTAATTTATAACTCTCTTAATATAATAGGCAGTTAGGGATACTTAGGCTAGCTAGTTATTAGTAGGGATATTTCTAGAGTAGCCCGGATTAGGTTAAAAGAGAAAGAAGAAATCTATACTAGAGAAAGGAATTATCAGTTTTTAATTCTTTAGAAATTCAAGTTAGATATTAAAGAGGCTGGCAGGCCTCTGGATAGCTTAAGAGTCTTCTTTTTCTTTATCTTTAATTTTGAGATTAAGTCTATTTTTACTATTACTACAATTCCTATCTAACTTCTATCTTTAATCTTCTTTAAATATTAGGCTGCTATAGGCTTAATTGATATCTTACTAGTAAACTTTTTTATAACTAATTTAATATTTAATTTTATAAGATACTTTTCTATTAGAAGATATAAATCTTAAATTAATTTGATTTTATATATATAATCTAGTATAACTTTAGGCTAACTAGCTAAGATATTTATATAATAACTCTTTATATAAATTCTTTAAAGAAAGTTAATAAATCAGGTGTTATTTTTTTTTTTTCTACTATTAAATTAGCTTCATGTTTTTTTTTATAAAATTCTTTTTTTTAAGTATTATATTTATATTAGGTAACTATTTATTTATAGAAATATAAGCTATTATTATATAATAGTAAAGATTAATAATTATAAAGCTTTTTATTTATATAGCTTATTATAATTAGATAATAAGCTGGTTTTATTAGATTTTATTTAGAATATAATTAATTCTAGTAAGAAAGAATATTAATTAAAAGTTAAAAGCTTTATAAATAATATATTTATTAAAACTTTAAATAAAACTCTAGTAAAAGAATAGTAGAATATAATATAAAAACTACTATAATTAAATCTAAGTTAATATATAATATAGAGTAGTTATTAAGAGTATTTAAGTATAAAATTAACTTTATTATATCTTATTATTAGATTTATTATTATAGTATTATATATATTAAGTATTTTATTAAGAAAGTTTTAAAAGTAGGCTTAGTAAAGTATAAAATATAATTATATTATTTCTAAGCTTTTTAAAGATTTATATTAGAAATTAACTTTATAAATAATAGCTTATTTAAAATAAAAAGAGATTATTATATAGTTAATTAAAATAATTAAAATATAATTATAAAGCTATAATATAATTATAATATATTAATAATTCTTATATATAAAAAAGAGCTAGTATTTATATATTATATTTATAATTATATTATAAAGCTTAATATTTTTATATAAAAGTAGCTTATTCTTATTATAAAGTTATTAAACTTAGTTTAGAAATAATAAGAAAAACTAGGTAATTTAAATATTATATTAATATTAATATTAATAATAAAAGATAAAATTAAATTATTCTTATTATATATTATAAACTGGATTTTTATAAGTAGAAAGCTTTTATAACTTAAGATATTTAGCTATTTACTTAACTTTAAAATTAATTTTATAAATATTCCTACTTAAATCTGAATATATATTAATTTTCTATACTAAGTTTATATTAAATAGTAGCTAAATTTATAGAAAGTACTATTAATATTTAATTAAGATTTATAATTAAATAATATATATTTTTAAATAAATAGCTTTAAGTTATTCTATTTAAAAACTTATAAATACTATAGCTTAATTTTCTAAAACTTTTACTTTTATAATTATATATTTTTTATAATTTTAAAATAGAAATACTTTTATTAAAAAATATAATACTAATTTCTTTTTTATAAATAGTAATAATTTATAAAAGCTGAGTTTAATATTTTTAAACTTTTAGTAAAATAGCAGTATTTATTTTTAATAGCTATTTTATAAATAAATTTAACAAATAAAATAAAAACTTTATAAAAAAGTAGATATTAAAACTTTATAATATAAAGAAAAATACTTATTATATATTAATAAAAATACAATTTTATATTTTATTTTATTTATCTTTTAGAAGAAATTTTAAGATAAGCTAGTAAATAATATATTTAAATTTTAATAAAGATTTTAAAAGAAATTAAGTTACTAAGTTTGCTTTTATATCTATAATATTACTTATTATATATTTCTATAGTAAATACTTAAGCTAATTATAAGCTTTAAAAGTTAAATTAAAACTTTAAAAAATTATAAATATATATACCTTTAGTAATTAAATAGAGAAAAAAGTAGTATTAAAGTAGATAATAAGAATATTAACTTATAAGAATATTATAATATATTTCTAAATATTTTATTAGTAGTTTAAAGTAAAATTAAGAATATATTTATAAGTTTAATATTAAAATACTATTATATATTGAAATATTAAATTTAAATAGCTATTATAAAAGTAAAGCTTTTTCTTTATTATTATAGATATTTATTATTATTTATCTTATTATTAGCTTTATTACTAATCTAGCTTTTTTTTAATTAAGTTAATAGCTAGATAAAGTTAAAAACCCTAAAGTATCTAAAGTTTTTTTAGCTATTTAAAGTTATTTAAGATTATTATCAGTCTTTTTATTTATAAAACTAACTTAAAAACTCTTATTAAATAAAAAGAAATTAAGAGCTTTTT